TACATTTAAATTTTAATTTATTTAAATTTGAAATACCATGGATTGTTTAGTGTTTACTATAGAAGGTAGTACAACTTTAGAGTATTACATTCTATTCCCACAAATTATGAAAAACATTTATGGTACACTAAATAATTACTAATTTCATAATAATAAAGGCAAAAAAGTAAACTTTGTTAAATAACTACATAATAATTATGGTTCCAAAACTCCCCATCACATTATCAGAACACCCAGAAATCAGTCAAAAAAATCTTCCATTACCAAAGCCATAATTATTAAAACGGTATGGTATTGGAACAAAAACAGACACACAGACTGACAAAGGAGCAAAGAATATGCAAAGGAACAAGGACAGCTTAATAAATGGTGCTGGAAAAACTGGACCACCACATGCAAAAGAATCAAACTAGACTATTACCTCACACCATGCACAAAAAAACCCTCAAAATAGATAAAAGAATTGAACATAAGACCTGAAACCATGAAATATAAGGAAGAAAATATAGGTAAAACAAACATGACTTATACCTCAGTAACACCTTTAAAGAAACAGACCCCAAAACAAAGAAAGTGAAGAAAAATATAAACCAGCTGGGATTATATCAAACTAAACAGCTTCTATACAGGAAAAGAGACATTAACCAAAACAAAGAGACACCCTTCTCATTGGGAGAAAATTTTTGCGTTCCATACAACTGATAAGGAATTGATCATAAAGATCTACAAAGAGCACATATGATTCAACAAAAGCAAAGTAAACAATCCAGTCAAAAAAATGGACAGAAGAGCTAAATAGACACTTCTCCAAAGAGGAAATGCAACTGTCCAACAGGTATATGAAAAAATGTTCAACATCACTTATCATCAGGGAAATGCAATCAAAACCACATGAGATACCACCTTATACCAATAAGAATGGCTCATTAAAAAAAAAAAAAAAAAAAAAAAAAAAAAAACAACAACAACAACTAGCAACAACTGCTGGTGGAAATGCAAACTGGTTTGACCACTATGGAAAGCTGTGTGGAGGTTCCACAAACTACTAGAAATGGAGCTACCATATGACCCAACAATTCAACTCCTAGAAATCTACCCCAAGGTCACAAAACTTTAATTCAAAAGAATACCTGCATCGCTACGTTTATCACAGCACTATTTACAATAGGTTAGATATGGAAATGACCCAAATATCCAAAAAAAATAAATGACTGGATCAAGAAGATGTGGGATATATGCACAATGGAATACTATTCAGCAATCAAACAAGATAAACTCATGCCATTCGCAGCAACATGGGTGAAGCTGGAAGGGATTATGCTCAGTGAAATAAGCCAGAAGGAAAAAGAAAAACATCAGATGGTTTCACTTATAGGAGGAATATAAGGGGAACAAATAAGGGATCAGGAAAAAAATATAATAAATTAAAAAAAAATAACAGGCAACTGTAAATCAGAGACACTCTGCAGGAGAGGAAGAGGAATCAAAAGAGGGGCAGGAAGAACACAAGGGACTATGGAGATGGTTCACAGGTGAACTGGTGGTGGAAATTTTACGGGGTCTACACCTGAGGAGAAAGCAAACATTGTACAAAAAATGAAAAATGATGTAAAATATATATAAATAAAATCTTCCATCATCATTAATATCTTGCTCACTGTAAGTCTTACAAAATAGCTTTGCACAGATTTTAAAATTTCATTGATATGAAAATACATCAAAGTAGAAACAAAGTATATTTTATTTGGTATGTGGCTTGAATCACACCTTTTCAATATTTATCAATAGATGCATGGCATGTGGCCTTCCTTTTTCTCTTTTTCCAGGTCTGGAATAAAGGGGTTACAGAAGATAAAACCGAAGGCAACCCCAGATTGTAAATGAATAGAATTCTAGGACATTCCTGGTTTGAATATTATTTTAAGACTAATTATAGAATCAGAACTATAGGATACCAAATTTTATAATGATGATATGTATGAAATGATAAAGGTTCAAAATACTGACAATGTAAATGGATTATAGAGAAAGAAAATGTATCAAAGGGGGAGTTTATCTGTTGTCCTTGGAAACATGTTATACAACTTGAACAGAGCTGAAGATCATGTTTAAATGAGAAATAAGTGGCACTTTTCAAATCATCATCTTGTGGTAAAGGCATGGCATTGGCAAGAACAGCCTTGAAAAAAGTTCTAGTCTCACTTTTCAGCTCTCTGTGCAACTTTACATGTTATTCTTACATTCTTCAAGCACTATTTTTTTGTCACTTATAACTTAAGAGTAGTAACACAATGCCTCGGCAGATGACTGTGAGAATCAAGAGTAAATGTGGTCAAAGTGTTTTTTATAGTCCTAAGCACCATGGAAGTGGAATGATGAGTTTTATTTTCATGCTAATGATATTATTAACCATGGCTATATGAGTCATCTTATGTACAGTTTTGTAATATTCACAATAATCATCCATTCAATTGCTTTAGTTTCTTTTGTTTAAAAAGCTAAGATCTTTGGAGATCCTAAGCACATTTCTAAGGATTCCAAAACTAGACAAGCATAGCTAGAAATAGGACAAATATGTAGATTATTCTGGAAAGAAAAAAGATTTGCAAAATTTGTCTTACCTTTAGAAAGGTTGTTTCTGTTAGAAAGTTGGACAATCCAATAATTTCTATTCATACTCAGTTTAGGTAAACATTGAGTATTTGTCATGGCCTAAACATTTAGCAGGAAATGAATGGGCAGATCTGAAGTACGTGTTCAAAGGACATCATCATACAATTCAAGAAGTTTCTAAATTAACAGACTACTTGGAGTTTCCCACTTTTCAGAAGTTTCATTTTTTAACAGAAAAAGCAAAATAGAAAACTTCATGTCTATAATTCCCTATAGGTCAAAACAACGCAGAGAGTCAATTTAATCAAACATGCAGGAGAAGACAATTGAATAACCAAATACTGGGATTAAAAGACTGTGCTAGATTAATGACTTCTAGACATTATAGGACTTGCTGGTGTTCATCTTGTTGATTCACTGAGTTAATTGCAGTGGTAACCAGAATTATAATTAAAGTTATAAGCCCTATTGAGTCACATGAAAGACATGTTTTTTGAACAGCTTACAAAAGGCACCCTGACAAGCTGATAAGCCAGCTTCTCTTGCACACACATGCACATATGCTCTCTCTCCATATATCACGAGAGACTATATCCATTTAGTTTTCCAGAATATGCTATGTTAGGCACATCTGCCTATTTTAATAACTGAAAAACCTCACTAAACAATGAGTCCTTAAAACCATTTCCAGTAATTGTGTAGTTAAGAGCCACTGGTTAATAAATACCTATTGTGTACCAGGTCATGTGTCAAACATATTATCACTACAAAACCGAAATGTTATTTACAACCAGCAATAGCCCTACACGTATTTTTCGTCACAAAAGAAAACAGAGTTTAAAGTTTCAAGTCTCTCTAGAGACACGCACAGCTAAAGTAGCTGAAACATCCCCCCACCCCACCAGCAGATGCCCATCCAATTTCCCATAACACCATGCAACAGCCTTGCTCTAATCCCACTCATCTCAGGAAGAAGTGGGCTGGAAAGCCAACACCTTCCCACAAAGCAAACTTCATCAGCCAAACTACCAGGAAGGTCATCAAAACTAAGTGAGGCTTTCCCAAAATCCTGCAAGAAACCCAAGACCTCTAATGGATGCCCCGTCACCAAGGAACCATCCCATAGGTTCTGCACACCCTTTAAGGTTATACCATAATCATCCCTCTCCAACATCTTTTCACTCTGTTCCCTGGAAAATCCCTCCTTTCCTGAATGTTCTTGCTCTAAGTGAAAGCACACATTCCACTGAGGATAGGAATTTTGGTAACTATAAAAAAAAAAAAAAAAACTTACTTTTGACAAGGTTACAGATGATCTCAGTATTAGCAAATTTATCAGCAAATTCTCAGTTCTTAAATGTCTAGACTTAGCAGCATCTGATATTTCTTTCTCACTTTTCCCAACTTCAGCACATGTCTTAATCTGGGCTCTCCTCTCATCCTCTGCCTTCTCTCCGTTTCCTTTACCAATTCTTTCTCATCTTCCTGTCCTCTAGTAATAGAGCATTTGGGTGTTCAGTCTTTCGATGACTTCTCTCTGTCCTAGGTGATGTGATCTTCAACAGATTCAGGCTGATAATTTTCAAATTCTTATATCCCCTAAATGTCAAGACTCATTTATTTAACTGTCACTTGACATCTGGATTTGAATGTCTAAAAGGCAATTCAAACTTGACATGTTAAAAACTCAATTCCCAATCTCCCCCTACTTGGCCAGTCTGTTGTTGCCATGTCTCTCAAAACAGAAATAAAACTCTCACCCTCGACTCCAAGGTTCTACGTGATCTGGTCCCCCGTGGCTCCCTTGACATTATATCCTCCTTCTACTCTCCCCTCATTTACTGAACTCCAGCTAATTGTAAAAGAATGAAAAGAGGGCCTCCCCTGTGGCGAAGCGGTTGAGTGCTGGGCTGCAAAGCTGCCTGCAGCCTCTGCAGCGCTCCCACATGGCGCACAGACCTCTCCTGCCATGCCCACTGCTCCCCTTAGCAGTGTATTTCGTCAGTCTGCCTGTTCTGTTCCCCGCTCTGGCTCTGGTGCATTCTCTCACCCTCCTGCGCTTCTGACTGTACCCAGTGCTTGTATAAATAAATGAATCTTTTAAAACAAAAGTATGAAAAGAAAAATCAGTCTCTCACATCCGGCACTGGACTAACACTCACCACCAGGCTGCACTGCTAGTTCAAGCTGTCCCGATGCCATCATTAGTCCTCGGGACGGTGACAACTGTTCTGATGCCCTTGGCAAGGTGCCAATAATATGACCAATACCCAGTAGATACTTATTGCATAAAGGGGTTAAATGAATGGAATATTTTAACTTCTAGAAGAAGAGGAACAGCACAATTATATAAAATGTGAAATAAAGTAATAAGGCAATTTCCTTACCTGAATCGGTGCACAAACATTCTGGAAATGAAGGGTGCTGATCTCATAAGCCCATTCAGAGAAACCTGGGAATAAATACATTAAAATGAATGATACTTAAAAAATAAAGACAATTAACAAAAACAACTCTAAAAATCATTTGAAACAAAAGCCATCATTTTACGAAGAAACATTGTATTTTATGGACATGAGTTTTATTTCATTCCAAAGACTACATGGGACAGGGATGATAAAGTCATCAAGGCTAACTCTCTCGTCACCCTTTCCTCTGGTTCCTCCACACTCCAATCCAGAAAACGATGTGGTTATTTACTTTTATCTTTACATATCAATTTTCAGACTTGACCTTTGGGTTACAACTTTTGGAGAATGATTCCTTCTATGATAATGTCAATGTGCACATGTGATCATTTTATATAACTTCATCAAATCTGGCATGGAGTCTTACATATAGAATATCTGAATTATCAAAACTTGTAAATCCTAACACACATGTTCGAAACAGGCCATATAGCTACCTAATGAAAATACTTCTCAGACCTTTTTTAAAATTACAAATTTCAAATGTGATATAATATTTGGAAACTTTCATTCAATACACAATGTCTTAAAACAGCCATTAACAAGGTGGGTTTTGTGAACAGTTGCATAGTACTGATAAAATGAATGTACATAATGAAAAAATACAATTTTATATATCATGCATTTATCTATATTGCCACATCTATAAATTTATGAGCAAATGCAATTGGACTGAGAAACAACTGTGTTACAGTCTTTTGGGCACTGTCAAGTGCTCACAAACACAAGCTTTATTTCCTAGCACAGCCCATCACTGAGGTGAAATTGCTGGTAGTATAATCCAAATGAAGGAGGACAAGAACAATAGGTGCAAAGAGAAAGGAATAAAATAAATAAATTTTAAGGGCTAGAACAGGAGCAAGCAGATCTCAGAATACAGGCAGCAGGATTTACTGTTAATTCATGAACACAACAGAAGAGCAAACTCTAGAATGGTGACACTAGAAAGGCTATTCTAGTCAACTGACTTTCCTCAAAGCACAGGAAAAGAAATTTGATTTCAGAACGTCAAACAAGAAAATGGATCCTGGTCAAAACTCAATACAAATTACACAAAATATGAGCAAAATGATGTCATATAAACACTTATGGAACAACAGAATGTATGCCCATAAACTAGATAAAAGCAGCACGTATTTCAAGCTAGTATTATTTTTCCAGATTTATTGAGATACAATTGACACCTAGCATTGTGTAAGTTGTAGGTGCACAATGCGATAATCTGATTCATGTACATATTATGAAACGTTTACCATATCAAGGTTAGTTAACACATTCACTGCCAAACATGATCACCACTGTGTATGTTTGTGTGTACATGTGTATGCACAGGGAGAACATTTAAGATCTACATTCTTAGCAACAGTCAAGTGTTATAGTTGTCATGCTGTACATTTGATGGACAGAAGTGACTCACCCTGGAATAGTAACTTTGTGATTTCTGACCAATAGTTCCATATTTTCCCCACCCTCAATGCTTGGTATTCACAACTCTATGAAGTTTCTAAGAATTTAGTTTTCTTTAGATTGAACATTTAGGTAAGACGATACAGTATTTGTCGTTCTGTATTTCAATTTGCCCACGAGGTTCACCCACTTTTTTTTTTTTTTTGGCAAATAGCAGGATTTCCTTCTTTTATATGGCTAAATATTATTTCATTGTATACAGATACCATATTATCCATTATCTGTCCATAAATACTTGTTTCCCTATGTTGGATGTTATGAATAATTTTTCAAAAAACATGGGCATGCAAATAACTCTTCCAAGTAGTGATTTCACTTCCTTTGGGTACATACTCAGAAGCCTACTTGCTGATCATGCAGTAGTTCTATTTTTAAATTTTTGAGGAATCTCCAAACTATTTTCTATAGTGAATGCTTCAATTTACATCCCTACCACCAAGGAGTAAGTGCTCCCTTTTCTTCACATCCTCAACATTTATCATCACCCACCTTTTTAATAATAGCTATTCTAATGGATGTGAGGTCTTAACTCATTGTGCTTTTGATTTACATTTCCCTTATTAGTGATGGTGAGCTCCTTTTTATATATCTATTGGCCATTTGTCTTGGAGGGGAAAATTCTATTTAGGTAATCTTCCCAGTTTTAACTGGGTTATTAGAGATGTTTTAATTTTTGTTTTTGTTTTTTTCCTCTTGATTTATGAGTTTTTTATATATATTGGACTTTAACTTCATTATCACATAGATTGTTCACAAATATGTTCTCCCGGCCTGTAAGTTATCATTTTATTTTGCTGGTCTGAAATTCTTTGATGCCCTTTGAGAGACACTGGCTGTTATTCTCCCAACTGCTCTGTCCTCTCCAGTTTATAGGCTCCTCAGTTTTCTGGGTGGGAAGACAAAGAAGTGGGCCTCTATGGAAACACTCTACATAGCTGGGAAAGCCAAGCACTCACTCACATACTCTCACTTTTTTCCATGGGAGAAATCATGGGCTAAGAATGGACTCTCTTGGCACTAAGCTGTGGCACATTGGGGTAGGGGTGATGTGGGCAAAGTGAAATTGCTCCTCTCATCCTCTTCTATGCAGCCAATTTTCTTTTTTATACTCCAACAGTGTGCTGGAAGCTCTGTGCTAGACCTTCAGACTTACACAAAAGCACTCAAATCTGTGATTGTAAAAATTGCTGTTCATTTGGGAGAAGATGGTAAAAAATTACTACTCTGCAATTTTTATACTGTCACTCTCCTAAAATTATTTAAGATAGTGGCAAGACCTGCAAGGAAGAAGAATAGTCTGTTCTATAATAAGCTGTCTTGGCCATGTGTGTTATTTGGAGTTGTAAGCAATGAAGACCCAGCAGAGTCAAGAAAAACTTTACCACTCTCTTAACTACCTAAAAGAATCTAGTTAGAGGGCCTATACCAGAAAAAAAAAAAGTCCATAGGTTTCCCCTACTGTATGAAAGGTGAACATTCCGATTGGTATGATTTGGTAGATTGTTTTGGGGGTTTGGGAATTCTATTAACATTAGTTTAGATGGAAAACATTTTGAGCAGTCATAAACCCAGTAACTAGCCTACCAAATATTTACTTTTGGATAGTGGGGGAAATCTGTGTTACAGAGATAACATTTTTTAATCTAAAAGAACTATCTACATGGCAGATAAACACCAAATTATCACATATCTGCTTTTATCATGCTGTGAAATACCATCTTCTCCCCTTCCCTTGGAAACCCTGGGACCTACTCCATTCCTTAGCCCAAGACAGTATATAAGCTTCAATTGTTTCACTTAGCCTTGTAATAAATTATTTTCTCTTGTTACTGTCTTAAGTCAATTTAATTATTAGACTAATTAAAGAATCTAGAAGGGAAGGGAAAATTCTTTTACGCCTACATACCTGTGAAAGAACAACATGAATTAGAATTAGATGAACTTAATAGTGAGGTGACTTGAAAAAATATTTGACAGAAGATGCAGAAAGACTCAGAAAAGAATTATAAATATATCAAAAATATTTCAAATATGCAAACTCAACTAGAGAAAAAGCACATGAAATTAGGAATACTATCTATGGATAAGAGTTGAAGAGACTCTTATGAGGAACTGAAGAAAGGATAAAAAGCATAAAGGAAAAATGGCAGAAATGGAAGATAACATGAGAAAGAACCAATACATGTAATAAACTTCTGTCTCCACTGCCTCAAGGAAAGCAATTAAGCAGGGGGAAAAAGCTTAACTCCATTATGACAAAAAAATTTCCTGAAATATAGAGACAAAGACTCTATATTGAAAATACATAGCACACACAAACTATCGATGCTGACCTAAATATTGATAGCCCTCTTGCACCAACAGAAAAAAGTATTCAAGCAAAAAATCAGTCAGAGAAAGATGGTAAAAGTATTTTATTTTCCAGCAATAATACTTCATGCCACAAACAATAGAAATACCTATATATTATGTACTTTGGTTTAAAAAAAAAAGTTAGTCTAAAAATTTTTTATGCAGCCAATAAATATTCCATTGTAAAGAGATGGTCTTTTGAACATGCAAGAACTCAGCAAATATACTTACCATTAGACTTTACCTAGTAATATACCAGAGAATATACTTTAGACATGTCAAATGACAAGAGACGAGAGAGATAATGACTTAGAGTGGTAGTGAGAATTGTTACCTATACTTAACACCGTAGATTAATTCTAAGAACCACAATACTTAACAACTTTATGTTCTGATATTGCAGATCCTAAGATACATGAGACAATGGGAGAGAACATAGTGTAAAATAAAGTTGCAGCCTTCCTTATAAGCATTAAATAAAAGAAAAATGACTTTCAAATCTGATACTAAGACAATGGGAAGAGATAGGGAAAAAGACATCACCAGCTAAAACTGATTTCATACTGGGAAACCAATAAAGTGTAACCATCTCAAGAAGTAGCCAAAGAAATCATTATTGAAGAAATCCAAAACTTTCTAAATTCCAAAGGATCTGGTGGAGGGAATGAGAGAAGGGAGTGAAACATACCAGTAATTATAAATCAGGTAACTTCATTTATTAAAAAAAAATGTTTCCACATTAACAATGTACAATCCAATAATATGCCATATTCAAGAGATAAACTTAGATTCAGAATATTTAAAGGATTGGCATAAAAAAGAATATAGAGTTCAGGAGGTTTTCTCTGAATTTTCAGTTTCCATTTAGATATTTGGCATTATATAATATCATATAGGAAACCATAAAATGTTTTGTAGGTAAATACATGGAAACAATGAAAAATGCAATGACACATTGAACACGTCAAAATTGACTCAACGGACTTACTTTCAGATAGCAGTTCATGTATTTCTAGGATTACATTGCTTCTAACATGACATACAGAATTCTTGAAATGCAGTCTTATCAATCCTGTAGTCCAGATTATTTCTCATTTTAATAACAATAAAAGGGTTATGTGCTATTTATTTTTATTCAAAAGCATTCCAGGGCAAACCTTTCATT